CTCTGTTGCCCCGACTGGAGTGCAGTGGCTGCTCCCGGCCACCGCAGCCACGACATACTGGGCTCCGGCGATCCTTCCGCCTCAGCCTTCCGCGTAGCCGGAATTACAGGCATACACTACCACGCCCGGCTGATTTTTTGATTTATTGTAGAGATGAGGTCTCGCTGCCCAGGTGGGTCTCAAACCCGCGGGCTCAGGCAATCCACTCACCTCAGCCTCCCAAAGATGCGGGATTACAGGCTGAGCCACCGGGCTGGCTGCTTCTTAATATCAGTAAGAAAATCCGTTTGTTTTCACATCAATGAAAAATAAAAGATTCTTTTAAAATTATTCAGTACTGCCTTTTAAGGTTTTGAACTCTTAATTATCCTGCATTTGAAAAGTGAGACAGGACTATGTAAAATGCATTCCATTGTTCTTTTGAAGTTGAGCTGTATCTCAGCCAAAAAAGTACTGTTTTAGTGCTTTAGTGGCCTTCTATCCCCCACCTTTTTAGGAGGTCTGGTCAGAGCCTCTTAGTTGTTTTTTGTTTTTTAAGTGGAATCTCACTCTGTAGCCCAATAGCATGTGCATAGCCACCAAAGCCTTGGCCTGCTGGGCTCAGAAGATCCTCTCTGCCTCAGCCTTCCAAGTAACTGGAACTACAGGTGTGTGCCACCATGCCCGGCTAATTTTTTTATTTATTGTAGAGACAAGTTCTCATCAGGTTGCCAAGGCTGGTCTTGAACTCCCTTGGACTCAGGCAGTCCTTTCATTTCCACCTCTCAAAGTGCTGAGATTATAGGTGTGAGCCACTATGCCTGACCCTTCTTAGTTTTTCTTGTGGATTTGATTCAACCTGATTAGTTTTTGTAGTTTGGGGTTCTTTTATTATATAAATGTTCTAAATTGGTGTGCTTCTTTGCTGTTTTGAAGCTAATGTCCTGGTTGACACATAGATGATCACATAAACTGTTCTGTGTAGGTGCTGTTCATTCCTTCTTGGCCTTCTTAGGACCTCCATGCCCTTCTTCTTAGACATTACTTCATTATTTTACAGAACAGGGTTTAAGAATATATTGTGTTAGGTTCCCCTCTCCAATAAAACTGCATGATGATACCCAGTATTATAGTATTTAATATTCAAGTGTATTTTTACTCTCTTTAGGGTTATCTCTTATAATAGATAAAATCCTATCCAGGCCAGGCATGGTAGCTCTCACCTGTAATCCCTGCATTTTAATAGACCGAGGTGGGAGGATTGTTTGAGTCTAGGAGTTTGAGATCAGTGACCTAGACAACATAGCAAGACCTCATTTCTACAAAAAAAATCAGAGAATTAGCGGGCATGGTGGTGCATACCTGTAGTTCCAGCTACTTGGGAAGCTGAGGCAGAAGGAGCTCCTGAGCCCAGAATGTCGAGGTTTCAGTGAGCCATGCCACACTGCACTTCAGCCTGGGTAACAGAATGAGACCCTGACTAAAAAAAAAAAAAAAAAAAAAAAAAAAAGCCCTATCTATATGGTGTAATATGTGATGGTAAAAATTTTACCTCTTATCCAGGTAACTTAAAAAAAGATTTGATTTCTTTTAAACCCATCTAGGAGATGGAACTTAAGACCATCCCTCCCATACCTGTTCTGGTTGTTTGTTCATTAGTGTTTAATGTGTTTAGTTACATCCTTATAATTACATCCTTTAGATAATTGCTTAGTTTTAATATAACCACTTTACATTCTACCTCTAAAAATCCATGAATGCTCAAGTTACCCAAATATAACTACTCATATTGTTATATATGTGACTTGTATCATGGGAAGGTGCATTGTTGTCCCAGATACCAGAGAGCTGACTTCAGACCTACCTCTGATATGTTTCTTATTGAGAAATAGTCCTAAGAAGCATGGAGAGTTTTTGATTTTGCTGGCAATGTTTCACAATGAATACTTGTTTCTAATAAAGCAGATGTTTGACTGTGGTTATTGGAAGAATAGTCATTACCAGCATTAAGCTCACCTACCTGAACCTTTTTGTTGAGTATCCCTTGTTTGGTTCATGTTTTGGAACTTCATGGGCACCTGTGGAAACTTGATACAAGCACTTCTGTAGTAATGAATGTTTCATACTTTTGGTAGAATAAATTATCAAATAATTTCTAAAACATGTCAGACGATTCTTGCAGTAAATAAAGTGATTTTCTTACATTAAATCTAGCACCATCAGTTCATTCTTACCCCTAGACTTGACCTATTTCTTGAATTTAATCCTATTTCTCCCCCTAATTACCTGTCGAACATACATCTTCTTGGGAGGCCACCTTTAAAGCCAGCATATAACAAGCAGCTCAATAGTTTCCTTGGAATCTACCCTTCGTTTCTTTCTTTCTTTTTTTTTTTTGAGTTGGAGTCTTACTCTGTCGCCCAGACTGGAGTGCAGTGGCCACTCCTGGCCACCGCAGCCTCGACCTGCTAGGCTCTGGCGATCCTTCTGCCTCAGCCTTCCACGTAGCTGGAACTACAGGCGCGCACTACCACGCCCGGCTAATTTTTAAATTTTTTTATTGTAGAGATGAGGTCTCGCCGAATTGCCCAGGCGGGTCTCGAACCCGCGGGCTCAGGCAATTCACTCACCTCAGCCTCCCAAAGCCCGGGATTACAGGTTGAGCCACCGAGTCCAGTTTACCCTTCGTTTCTTAATGATAGTGTTCTTTTCTTAGTTATCACAGGCCTTAACATTTTGCAGTTATCGTTGACAATTTGCTCTGCCTCCTTTCTTCCTTTTTTTTTTTTTTTTTTTTTTTTGAGTTGGAGTCTCACTCTGTCTCCCAGACTGGAGTGCAGTGACACGCTCCCGGCCACTGCAGCCTCGACCTGCTGGGCTCTGGCGATCCTTCCACCTCAGCCTTCCAAGTAGCCGGAACTACGGGCACGTGCTACCATGCCCAGCTAGTTTTTGATTTATTGTAGAGACAGGTCTCGCTAAGTTGCCCAGGCGGGTCTCAAACCTGCGGGCTAAGGCAATCTACTCACCTCGGCCTCCCCAGATACTGGGATTACAGGCTGAGCCACCAAGCCCGGCCTCTTCCGTTTTTAATGAATTACCAAGCTCAGGTAATTAATGCTTTGACTCACTTTATTCTTTTCCTCTGCATTTTCACCATCTTTGAGTTCCTGAGCTCTAAGCAACTCAGATCTGAACTAATGGTCCAGAAACGTTTTATAAGTGACTTTCCTTTCCAAACCATGCTTCTGTTGTTTAGCACCACCACTTTTGTGTTATTATTCCCCTGCTCATAAAACTTACAGTTTCACACGATTGAATGAAGTCTAGGCTCATTAGCCTGCCATTCAAGGCCTACAGTTGTGTCCTAATTGCTTTTCTAGTCTTAATTTCTTGATCGTTCTCTTGACATTCTGACCTATTCTTCTCAAAAATGTTTTCTTGCCAGTCTCATATTAATGGTCATCCTCACTTGAATTACTCTTATTCCCTTCTTCTCTTTATGTAAATTTCACGCAGTTAATAAGACTCAGCTAAAATTTTGTATCTCCTGCTAAGCCTAGGCTATCCCTCCTGAGCATGTGAATGTCATCAGATAGTTTACTTTGTAATAGTACTTTGACACTTCTTGAGTTACAATGAACTCTCATCACTTTTTTACATGTGATAATTTTTTAGTGGAATGTGCCCTCTCATTCACTATTTTATCTGATTTTTTTTTTTAAGAAAACAGTATTTATTGAGAGGCCTTCCACGCTGCAGGAGGGGACCCGAGGGGGTTGCTCTGATTCTTTTTTTTTTAACAAATGAGTACAGTGAGACCCAGCATATATCTCTTCTTTTTAACAAATATTTTTAATGCCTTCTTTATTATCCTAAAGTAAAATTAATAGTTAAATAATCTACCTACAGACATAATTTTAAAAAATCAATATAATGTCCTTGCTCTAAACAAAGGAAAAATAAAACAACTTGTAACAGTATGGATTTCATTATGCAAATATGCAGATACAGTTATACTGTAGCAGGCATAGGTCATAAAGATTTACAAACCCCTCAGCTTCCCCCTGTACTGTGTTGTACCTAGTTAAGCAACTTAACAGCAAGACTGGTCTTGATATTTAATACAGTTTGTTTCTGAAATTGCAAATTACGAGCTTTTTTTCATTCTCATACAATGTGTTGGTAATAAGGCCTGAGTTACAAAATTTAAATTAAAAGTTGTTGGAAGACAAAAATATGTGTAAAATGATTAAAACGTTATTATTGCATATTTAGCTTTTCTTTTACAGTTCTTAGTTAAAAAATAACTTTCTGAAAGTTATAGGAATAATGTGCCATATCTTACTGAATCCTTAATTTTAGAGTTTCGATATTCTGTATAGTCTTGTTCATTTATATGACCTAATGTCATTTAAACAATTAGCTCAAATAGATAAGTTGAATATGCTAATAATGAGAAAATCATTACAAAGGAATGAAGTCAATTTTATGTAGACAAAGTTAAGGTTGTTGCCTAGTTATGACATCATTCTTTGTATTTATACTATACTCCCCTTACCCATTTTTCTTAAACAAAAAGACAGATCTCTTAGTAGAAACCAGTTTACGTATATAAAATACCTTAAACTACGAAGTCCAAGCCTAGACTTGGAGTGGTCTTAGTTTTTTAAAGTACTGATTTCTGTACTAGCAAAGACTTCCCTGAGAAACCATAAAAAGTGATACTTGCTTGACTGAGGAAAAACTCTTAAATAGGAGTATCTGTAGGTTTCTGAAAAGCTCTGTTCTGTACAGTTCTGCAATTTCCGAAGACATGCTAAGGCCTGACTGGGTCCATTCTGTATAGTTAAACATTCTGAAATCTGCACCTGACTAAATAGTCCATATTGCAACAATTTAAAAATCTATTGTCATAGCATTCTAACTTGTAGAGAGAAAAGAATTGTGAGAAGATCTAAGTGGCTTAACTTGATTCTTAGGATATTTGTCAATATAAAACAATTAGTTTTTCTTTTGTAGATTTCCTTGTGAAACCTTCTAGGAGAAAAAATTTGGGGACAAACTCATTTGGTAAGTTGGTTTTTATCCCCTTTATTCTTTCTGTGCTGTTTTGAGGCAGGTAAAAATTAATTTACAAATTGATTTGGGGGGGTCTTTGTCTGTGTTTATAATTTTTTGGATCAGTTTTTTTTATTGTTCATTTTCATGTTTTTTTTTATTTAGACCCAGGCCAGGTCACTTATCCCATATATAATTGTGCTGTAATACAATGGAAAGTTGTATTTAAGTTGAGATTTTATGAGTTGCAGCACTAATATTTGTCTAAAATAAGTAGTCTTTATCAATCTGCAAGTCTTCTAAATTGAAACTTGATTCTTGTCTGAGTTTTCTAAATTGGTGTATATCTCTATGAAAATCAAGGCCTCTTTTTACTAGAGTTAATTCAATAGTTCCCCTTTATCTTTGGTTTTACTTTCTATGGTTTTAGTTATCTGAGGTCCAGAAATGCAAAGATATCTTGAGAGAGTAAGAGTGATACCACTTTCTATTAACTTTTGTTAGTCTATTGTTATAATTAATTGTTCTATTTTATTATTAGTTATTGTTGTTCATCTCTTACTGTGCCCAGTTTATACATTTAGCTTTATCATAGGTATGTATGGGAAAAAACCTAGTATAGAGGGTCCAGTACTATCTGCGGTTTCACACTTCCACTGGGGTTTTTGGAATGTATCTCTCGTGGATAAGGGGGGATTATGTAGTACAAATGTGAATTTTGATGAGAAAACAGATTCTGAAAAATTTGCTAGTTCTTTCTTCATTGTAGATTTAATTCTTGTCCTTTCTCATAAAGTGTCTTTCTTTTCATAAATGTATGTCTGTGACTGCATAAATTTTTATTGCGCCCTATTTCTGCCACCTGTTTAATTTGGAGGAATTTTAATACAATTTTATTGAAAAGAGAAGTTATTGTTTTGGTTTTAAGTTTCTAAATACAAATCATTTCCTTGTTCAGGAACCTTTGGTTTACCATTGCTTCTACAAGCATTTAGAGTTCTTCACAAGTGAGCTTTAAACACATCTCCCACAGCCAGTCACCTGTTTTTCCTGTGTACCTAGTGTACCTCTTGTTGCTGCCATGCTGACCTACTTACTCATTCAGATACTCTTCAAGGTGCTTTTTTTTGTCTTTCTCTGCTGCACGTGCCATTCCTGTTCTGCCTTTGTCTCAATAGCTCAGAATCTGGTTGGTTCTGGAATCTTCCACAAAGCCTTCAGTAAGTGCCCAGCTCAGAAGCTGTTTCTCTGCCTTTTGCATTACCATAGGATGATAGTATGGTACTCTGCCTTATTAGTTATATTTGTCACTCACACACGATTGTGAATACCTTGAAGTCAAGAACTGTCTGCATATTTGAATTGTCAATTCACGTATACCCTCCTGGAGTCCTGGGATCCCAGTGCCTTCTCCCTATAAATTCTTCTTGACTAGGATTTTTGTTTAGGGTTTTGGTAAGAATAAGGAAGGAGAATAGATTGGTTCTAGTAGAGATTGGTTATCATAATCGTGTTGATTCAGGTGGTTGTTTTTCCTCCTTTTTTTGTATAATGAAAGATTATATAGTATATGTCATCTGTGTCCTTGTAGTACAAGTTTCTCAGTGTGTTTCTTGAGTTATTCTTGTCTGCAAATGTAAGTTTTAGTTTTTGAATAAGGAATTGAGTAATTTCTCTTTAAAAGATGTCAGAAGCCAGGCTCGGTGGCTTAGCCTGTAATCCCGCGCCTTTGGGAGGCTGAGGTGAGTTGACTGCCTGAGCCTGCGGGTTCGAGACCCGCCTGGGCAACTTGGTGAGACCTCATTGCTACAATAAATCGAAAAAAAATTAGCCGGGCATGGTAGCACGCGCCTGTAGTTCCAGCTACTTGGAAGGCTGAGGCGGAAGGATCGCCGGAGCCCAGCAGGCCAAGGCTGCGGTGGCTGGGAGCGACCACTGCACTCCAGTCTGGGTGACAGAGTGAGACTCCAACTCAAAAAAAAAAAAGATGTCTGAAAGATGTGATTCCATCGTTCTGTAGGAAGAGTGAATGACGCTTTACTTTTGTAAAGATTTTGAGAAGTCACAGCATGGAGTGGTATTGATGATGGAGCTGAGAGAAGCTTGTACATCCTTGCTGTCTAATTGTCATATTAAGAAAGGAGATCATTTGACTTTAAGGCTTAGAACAAGAATCTTATTCTTCATTTTCTCAGGGGGATTGCAGATTAGATCTGTAGCGAAGAAACTATATTCCTAACATATTACTTGACTATACAGTAATTAATACTTAAATTACCATAATAATGTAAATGTGGATTGCTTTTTAACCTTTGAATCAATATGTAGATAAAGCATCAAAGAGTTGCATTTGCAAAACAGAATGAGAAAATGTTATATTCTGGTCTGAAGAACCATCTAGGTTTGGAGGGAAAGACATAAATTTATTAAATTAATTTTGATGCCAGGAAACATTGTGTAAATTAATATAATATGTGCCCCAGATTAAAGAAGACTAAAGAGATATGAAAAATAGATTTAATATGTGATCTTGGACTGGATCCTTTACGAAAAGGGAAAAAATTGCTGTGAAGGATATAATTGGATTAGTTGACAAGATTGAAATAGAGGTGGTAGATTAGAGTATTATATCAGTGTTATATTTTCTGAATTTGAAACAAGAACTGTGGTTATATAAGAGATTATCTTTTTTAGGAAATATGAAAGTAGTAAGGGTTAAATATGGTATTCGCAACCCTCTCTTAAATAGTTCAGAAAAAAATAAGTAACTGTGTGTGTGCATGGAAAGAAGACAATGTTGGGAACTGTCCTATCCAAATACTTTGTAATGAAACATTTTATTTAGTGAAGTGCAGTCTTTATCTGTAGAACCATGTGTTGTCATATATGTGAGTATATATACATATTAATGATTTTAATGTGTGCTTATTATGCTAGTCACTATACTAAACACCTCATATATATTATGCCTTTTAGTTATTATTATTTTTTGAGTTGGAGTCTTCTCTCTCTTGTTACCCAGGCTGAAGTGTAGTGGCACACTCAGGGCCACCACAGCCTCGACCTGCTGGACTTAGGCGATCCTTCCGCTTCAGCTTTCCAAATAGCTGGAACTACAGATGCACGCCACCCCACCTGGCTAGTTTTTGTGATTTATTGTAGAGATGAGGACTCACTAAGTTGCCCAGGCTGGTCTTGAATCCCCGGGCTCAGGCAGTCCTCTCATCTCAGCTTCCCAAAGTGCTGGGGTTACAGGCTGAGCCATCTCGCCAGGCCTTATCTTTGAATTGTTACAACTCTTTAATGCAACAGCTGTTTTCTCATTGTTTTGCAGATGAAGACACTGAGGCTCAGAGGTAGCATGACTTGCCCTCAAAATCATAGAGTTTGTATATGGCAGAATTAGGACCTATATCTCATCTGCCCTTAGAGCCATTACTTTACATCCCTGATTGTTTATTCTTGAGATCGTTATCTTCACACTCTGTCTCAGGTTAAGTGAAGACCTTTTATGTAATAATTATTCTGAATTTCCTTTTACAAAACTTTTTTTGCAGATTTTCCTAGTTGCACATGTAGAACAAGTGTTTAAAAGTATTAAAAACAGGCTGGATGTAGTGGCTCAAGTCTGTAATCCTGGCACTTTGGGAGGCCAAGGTAAAAGAATTGCCTGAGCTCAGGGGTTCAAGACCAGCCTGGGCAACTTGGTGAGACCTTGTCTCTACAGTAAGTAAAAAAAAATTAACCGGGTGTGGTAGCGCGTGCATGCAGTTTAGGCAGAAGGATTGCTGGAGCACAGCAGGTCGATACTGGGGTGGCTGTGAGCGTGCCAGTGCACTTCAGCCTGGACAATAGAGTGAGACTCCAACTCAAACAAGCAAACAAAAAGTACAAAAACTAAAAGTCACTACTCCCACTCTCTTTCCTAGAGAGGTAACCATTGTTCACAATCACTATATAATTTTTCTGTGCATGTATAAACATGCTTCAGAATTAATACAAATAATGCTTATGCATATTTTTGTTCTAACTTTTTAAATTACACAACACTGAAAAAAGTCTACCAAATTGATAACTACATGTTGATTTTTAAAAAAATAAATAGAAGAGTACATATGCATAGTCTTTGACAATAATAACCCCTCTGCACTACAACCCCTCTACCCCCTAGTTTATATCTTTTTGCCTAGTAAATCCATTTTTAAGAATCAGTGCTACATAAATAGTGACTTGTGTAGAGATACAGGTAAGGATGGCTGTAGTGGTTTTTTTTTTTTTTTTTTGGTATTAATGGAATAATGGAAACAACCTACAACATATCTCACCAATTGATGAATGGTTGGGTTATGGTATATAGGGAAAGAACTGAACTTTTGCATGTTTGTACTGACATAGGATGGATTTGATATATTGAAGAAATAAAGTTGTAGAACTAATAAATACAGTATGACTTCCCCCTCCTATTTTGGGGGGTAGATTATGTGTCTTTGTACAGTCATGTACTGCTAATGATTTGGTTAACAACAGACCCAGCATATGATGGTGGTCCCATAAGATTATAATGGATCAGAAAAATTCTTATGGCCTAGTGATGTTGTAACCATTGTAACATTGTAGCAGAGTTACCTTATTTTTTAGAAATTCAGTGTATCCTAAGTGTAGTTTTAATAAAGTCTACAGTGGACTGGGCCCCGGTGTCTCATAATCCCAGCACTTTGGGACACTGAGGTAAGAGGATTGCTTGAGGCCAGGAATTTGAGACTAGCCTGGGAAACATGAGACCCCATTTCTGCAGGAAAAATAAAAAATTAGCCTGGTATGGAGGTGAGGCAGACTCAGGAGTGGATAGCATGAGCCCAGGAGGTCAGGGCTGCAGTGAACTATGATCTTGTCATTTCACTCCAGCCTGGCAACATAGTAAGATGCTGTGTCTTTTAAAAAATGCATTTAAAAAATCCCCAAATCTTCAGTATTTTACAGTGATGTCCTAGGCCTTCTTATGCACTTACCAC